CTATTTCAGTGGCCATTCTGCCAGATCTGCATGGGTCACTCAGGGCAAGTGTAAGACCACAGATCTTAGGGGGGGGGGTCAAGGAATGTTGTATCTTCAAAGTCTCATGTGTTCAGAGGTGAGGCTTTTGGAAGATGGTTGGATTGTGGAGACGTAGTCATCAGTGGGTTCCTCCATGGGTGAGTGCATAGCTGAATGTTCTATTAGGAGGAGTAGCCTGGTTGGAGGAAGGCCATTGGGGGTGTGACCTGGAAGGGTATATTCTTGTCGCAGGGTCCTCCCTTCTCACTCTGATTCCTGGTTGTCATAGAATGAACAGCTGTCCTTTGATAAGACTTTCTACCATACCATTTTGGCCTTGGAGACAGCCCACTTTGGACTGAACCCACCAGAACCATGAGCTGAATAAACCTGTTCTTTTTTAAGTTGTGGGCACCAGGTATTCTGTCCCATTGACTACAAAGTGACTTACATAGTGTACTAGCCAGATTTTTGTTACTGTAACAAAATACCTGAGATAAAACGGAAATTTTATTTTGGCTCGTGTGTGTGTGTGTGTGTGTGTGTGTGTGTGTGTGTGTGTGTGTGTTAAACTGGGAACTGAACTGAGGATCAGGATCTTGCACTTGCCAGGTGAGTGCTTGTGCTACTGAGCTATATACTTGGCCACAATTTGTTTAGTCTGGTTGGTTAGCTACATTGCTTTTGGCAGCACATCTTGGTGGAAACACATGGTAGATAAAGCTGTTCACCTCATAGAGGCTGGGAAGAAAAGAGGAAGAAACAGAGAGACAGGAGAGAGAGAGAGAGAGAGAGAGAGAGAGAGAGAGAGAGAGAGGGAGAGAGAGAGAGAGAGAGAGAGAGAGAGAGAGAGAGAGAGAGAGAGCGCCTGAGGTCTCAATACCTATTTTAAGCACACACTACTGACTTAACTTTTTCCCTCTGGGCCCCACATCCTAAAAGTTTCATCACCTCCCAACAGCACTGTTGGAGACCACTATACAGGGTTAAGTTGCTGAACACAGCACTCTTTGGCTGTGTTGGAAAAGGTCATAGTTACAAAGCTCTGAAGTCAAGATGACACCCCAGCTGAGGGAACTGAGGACAGGGGCTGCTGACACTCCATTCCAGAGCAACAAACCTGCCAACCTTAGAGATACAGTTCTCTTAATTGGCCAAATTTACTGCTTGGAGGAGTCTTTGTACTGACTTCCCAAGGTCCTGCTCAGTTCCCACACCTGCCTCAGTATCCCCTTCTTTTGTTTGCAAGCCAAATAAATACAGGCTGCCCAGAGAAGTTCTTTATTTCAAATACAGGGGGCCCCACTTGCAGAGAGTTTTGATCTTCCTGGATGCCCCTCAGACCATTCATCTCTTTTATTTAAGCCATTTGCTGTCCACTGACTTAGGAGATTGTGTGACTGATCAGCCCTTGACACAGCATAATAGGCTGCAGATGAAGCCTGTAGTACATGGCCCTCTGGGGGACAACTTATCCAAACCACAGCAAATGGTTAAGAAGGAGGAGTGTTCCTAGAGCACAGTTGGCTTGTAGTCATGTCAAAGAGTGGTGCTGTTTTTCCACCTGGTCAGTTTCCTTCCTCTGACATCACATTAATTAGCATCTGTGGTTTGGAGACCACGTAGGGTGCTCATGTGCCAAGGCAGGCTTTTTAGGTTGGTTGGAGGTTGTAGTGAGGCACATGGCTCTGAGTACTCAGGGCTGGTTGGGTCCTCAGAAACATACTAACAGGTAAACATTTGTCATGCCTTCTAATTAAATTCGCTTGCAATCATCATCTTTATTTCTTTTCTTTTCTTTTTTTTTTTTTTTTTTTTTTTTTTGTCTTTTTCCTTTTTATCGGTACTGGGGATCGAACTCACGACTGCCTGCTTGTAAGGCAGGCGCTTATGCCGCTGAGCCAAATCTCCAGCCCCATCATCTTTATTTCTTAGTAGTCACTGCTCGGATGGGGGTCCGGTACTGTTACAAGAAATGTGAGTGTTCTGAATTCCTAGGTTCTCTCGATCATACTTGATTCTCATAGGAGATGATGCTATGAGTAATGTTCTCTTGGGAAGATAACTAGGACCTGCAGTATGAGCAGAACTCATGAAAGCCTGTTTCTAGAAGATTCTTTCGCTGCTGAAAGATGAGGTGGGATTTGGGAGGTTGTTTTTTTTCTGTCTCTCCCTCTTTGAGTGCTTCTGTGATGGAGTCACATCTGAGGCCCTAGTTACTCTCAGGGTTACCAAAAAGGCCTCAGACCAGAAGCCAACTCCTGTCTGCTTGGTTTTAATTTCCAAACCACAGGCCTCCCTGGACCACACTAGTTTCTCCACTATAGTGACACAAGTGACAGGGCTGGGGATGGATGGGACTTTCCAGTCTAAATATTAGCCAAAACTGTTCAGAACCTATAATTTTTAAAGACTTGATGACTATAGCTCCTGCTTCCAGTTCCTGAGAAGTAACATCAGTAATTGAAGAACATACTACATTTACTGGGTCCACATCATGATTCTTGCTATTTCTGTACCCCTGCATTATATAAGTAATTTTAAAATAATTTTATCCCATTTCCACTCAATAGAATCTAGAAGGAAAATTTCTACCATCTGCACAGTTGAGATACTGGTACCACTTTTCAGTAAAAGCAAATAAAATGAAAATAAAATATATGATTAAATTTGAGGTTCAAGGTTGCCTACCTACATTTTTGACCCTGAAGTCAAGTATATCTTTGCATAAAAAAGTAATAACCATAAAAAGAGAGATGAACAAGTGCTTGTAGGGTGTTGGGTGCTTACTGGCTGCAGGACAGTTCTCCGAACGGCCTGGCCCAAGCAGTTCTCTGTCATTTTCCACTTGTAGCTCTGGAGAATAACTTCAGAGTTTAATAGGGATGCAGTGTAAGGAGGGACAGGTGGGGTGTCCTGGACTTTCCATTAGTCCATTCTAGAAAGACAATATTCTTAAATATTTGTCCCTGTGTATAGATTCAGAGTGGGCTGCTCTTCAGGGGTCTTTTGGCTGCAGTGTACTTGGGGCAGCTACAGCTGAGTCTCCATCTCCCCAGTGAAGTTTCCTGAACCTTGGGGGATGGACCCTGTGGACCCTGGACTTCTGCAGCCTTTTATTTCCTATTTAGGGTAGCAAACCAACTCCTTACAGCTTGTGTGTATGGGAATATTGTCAGTTATAGCTTCTTAAAAATTAGGACTGGAAGAGTACAATACCAACTTCTCTCTTGTACAATTAAAGAACTACATTGTGTTTTTATCTTACTATTTTTTTGGTACCAGGAATAGAACTCATGACCTTGTGCTTGCCAGGCAGGTGCCTATGTGCCGAGCTATATCCCCAGCTCCTTACATTGTGCTTTTAAAAGAAGGTAAAATATAGAGAGTAGTTTGTGACATAAGAGAAATCTTTACGATTCCCCTTCTTCCCTGGAATTTTATTCCATTTTATGCTACAAATCACATGGACAAACATATAACTTTCAGATGTGTGTAAATGACTCAGCATTATGGCACAAGTCTGTAATCCCAGCACTCGAAAGACTAAGGCAGGAAGTTGGTGAGTTCAAGGCCAGCCTGAACTACATAAGAAGACCCTGTCTAAAAAAAAGTGTGCACCTGGAACAAAACTCTATGTCTGGCTGGGTAATCTGACTGTTCAATAGTGTCCACTAACCTTTAGAGATTTTTTCCCATAGTAGTACACATGGAGTGGCCTCATTCTTTTAACCTGCTGCATTGTATTTCAGAACATGCAAGATACAGAATTTATTTAAGCATTTTTCATTTTTCTCTTGATGGATTGATATATAATTTCCATTATTCTTAGTACAAACAATATGCTGCAAACATCTTGATAACTCTTGAGGCTTTTAATTATTTAAATACTAAAAGCATAGTTGTCCTTTGCTTTCAGAAGTTTTCAAAACACCTTGCTTAACTATTGTTCCTTGAGTGCTGGCCAAGGACGTGCCCTTCCGGTCTCTCCCGGGATGCACTCCTGTGCCCTCTTTGGCTTCCGAAACCCTCTCAGGCAAGTAGTTCGACCTCTCAGCGGAGACTTCTGCTGCCCCCCCTGCTTGGAGGCCTTCACGTGGTCAAATCTAATCTCCTTACAAACTTTACCACTTGTGAAATGCCATCTATTTCTTAATTTGGAGATTTTTTCAAAATATCTCCAACAATGGGAAAGAATGTATAATTGGGGGTATCTGGGAACCACAGCTGCAAATGGTTACCGTGCGAGAAAACTTTCTCTGACATCCCTTGTTTTATCTAAGAATTCTTGTATTTGAGTCAAGCATTTAAAATTCCTGTCTCACCCAGGAAATCTGGGGTTCCAGGAGACATTCTGGGTTTACCCCTTAGTCTGTGAAACAACCAGTGTACCTCGGTATAACTCAGTTAGATGAATTCAATATGAATGCTATTTATCGTCCTGATTAGTCCTCAGGAAAGAGACGCAGATGGTGCCATTTACCTCTCTGGCTCAGAGGGGAGCACAGCAAATCTGCTTCCTTTGTGTTGGTGGCATTATTTTTGTCTCCTTGAGTTGTTTCCCCTTGGAAAAGGGCATGTCGAGTGATACAGAGCCCAAGCCTTGTAAAACACTGTGTATACGGGGTCTCATATGACCCTTAGCATCTGCCTGTGCCAGGGCAGTGCTGCACACCTGTGATCCCAGCCCTGAGGGAGGCTGAGGCAGGAGAATCAAAAGTGTGAGTCCAGCCTAGGAAACTTACTGAGATTCTGTCTCAAAATAAAAATAACGAAGATTCTACCTCCAGCAACACGCACGCAAGCACACACGCAGGCCAGAATCTGATGTCTGTTAAGACGCACATTAGTTTCTTGAAGATGCTGTAACACATCACTACAAATACGATGGCGTGAAAGGACACGAGTTTGTTCTGTTACAGTTCTGGAGGTCAGAAGCCCCGCTCACTGTCGAGGCCTCTGCTGTTCCTTCTGAAGGCTCTAGGGGCGCAGGTTCCCTGCCAAGGTTCGAGTCTTTTCCCAGCTTGCAAAGTCAGCAGCACAGCTGCCTCCAGTGTCTCCTTCCTTGTCCCTCTGATTCTGTTGTCATCTTGCCGTCTGACTCCCTGCCCCCCTGTTCTAAGCACCCCTGTGATGTCAGGGCCACTGGGATAATCCAGGATAATCTCTCGTTTCAAAACATATAGTGTAATCAAATTGGCAAAAAGTGCCTTTTGCCACCTAACGCAACCTCGCAGTTTCCAGGGGCCAGGACGTGGACAGACGTGGGGGAGTATTTTTTCAGCCCGCCACGTACGGCTCCGCAGGCGAAGTGACTCGCGTACCAGAAACGAATTGCACACTGCGGGGCGCACTAGCGAGACTCAAGAAAACTGCAACTTCGGAAAAAAGACTCTATTTTACGTAACACTTTAAAGGATTCTCAGAGTCCTGGAAGTCAACACACACGATCCTGGGTAAGCACCCTTAACGTAGAATCCCAGCACATCAGGCAGCCGCCACGATGCTAAGGGAACGCCAAGGGACCGGGGCGCCTTTACGTTCGCGTCGCTTAGTCTGCCGGGACAGCAGGTGGCGCTCCCGCCCACCCGTCCGGCTCCAGGCGCCGGTTCAGGGCAAGGGAGCGTGGAGTCGCCTTGGTTCCTGCGGTGTTCCAGGCCGCGGGTACGGAGCAAGGATGCGCGGGCCCGGAGGCGAGGAGCGGCCGGGGAGGCTTCGCCGTCGTGGCCGCGAGCAGCTGGTGACGTTGCCGAGTGCGCTGCAGAGACCCGCGGCAGATATGGATGAGCCTGCCAAGGAAAAAAACGAAGCCCTTCCTCGTTATTTAAAAAAAGCATGGCAACAACTGCTGCTTGATTTCGGAAGCGGGCTTCCTCGCGCGTCTCGGCGCACCGCTTCTGCCCCCAGGCCGGCTGCCTGCTCGCCAGAAGCGAGGATGTGCGCGCCCGGGTCGGACCGGAGGCTTCCTTTCTCGGAGGCGGAGCCTTCCGGCCGAGGACGGGCTGAAGTTATATATTGGAAGCCGTAGGACAGAGTTGCGTGGAAGACGGCGCGGCCTGTCCGATTTAGAGTCTGGCGGAGGAGGTGCTGGGAGATTGCAGGCGCTGGAAGCCATCTGGATAGGAGTAAAACACGGCCCCTTTCCGGAGAGCATGTAGCCGGAGAACAAGGCTTCTCAAAGTCTGGTCGTAGATCAACTGTCTGTCACTAAGGATGGAGATTACTGGGTCTTTCACCTGCTAAATCAGTTGGAAGGATGGGAGGTGGTGACTGCGGCTGAATAGCTATATCTATCTTATTGAAATATTTTTATTTTTACCCGAGATTGAACCCAGACCCTTGTGATGTAGGGGAAAGAAACTTCCAGCCTACTAGATGTCTGATACAAGTTCGTGTTCTTTAAAATCGAAGAATGAATTTTAAGAACAATGGAGGTTAAGAACAGAATATATTTATTGAGAGAAAGAAAACGTCCGTAGGAGAGACAGAAGAGATCCCAGTGTGTTGCCAAAGACTGTCTTTTTTAGGGACTTTTATAGAGTAAATCCACAAAGTGAGGCAGGTCTAAGGTAGGGGAAACAGGGGAACTCACAAAATGGGCATGAGGTGGGGCAGAACTATGACCAACCAATAAGATTAATCCTCAGGTGAAGTTGATTAAATCGGGGACAAATGAGGAAGCAAGTTTCATAGCCAGAGGGCATGCATACAGAGCAGTGACTCTTCCTTAGGAGGTTAGGATAGTGACTCCTGGCTTCCTCGGGGTGATAGGGACCTACTTAGAACATCAATTCCTGATGTTTATCCTTAGGAAGTAGGTGGGTGCATTTGATTTATCTTTTGTCTTAAGGTTTGGCCCACAGAGGAGGTGCCTGTCTCCCCCACAGTTGCAAGGTGTCTCATCTTCTGCACTGGCTTCCTTGAGGGCCCAGTCCTGTGTGACTGCCTGTCATATTTCTTTCTAACTCAGTTGCTTGTAACACTCGCACATGGTAGGAAAGCGCTCTACCACTGAGCTGTCCCCGCAGTATTTTTAATAAATTCCCTGAATGATCCTCCCACTTTCTGAGTTTGGGAACCACACCTCCAGCTCTTGATACCCAAAGTGGGTGGAGCAGATAAAAGAACCAGCCAGAGAATACACATCTTTCAGAGTTGATTCTCTAGTCTCACCAGCTAGAGGTCATGTGGACTAAATAATCAATTCTTTTCTGTCTTATAGTCTTCACCTGTTAAACCTCAAATCCTCTTAAAAACTGTCCCCAAATACTTCTGGGAACATTTTGTTTTCTCCTCCCTAATAACTGCTTCCTGTGACTTGCATTAAGGGAGGCACAAAAGTGGCCTCTGCAGCTTAGGTCCCCAGTCTCTCTTTTCCTGTGGGGCGCTGCACCAGCTCCCCAAAACTGCAGAACCTAAACAGCTAGAAGGAGCAAATTTCTCCTTAGGTCTCAAGGTGCTCAAATCATGCTTTGTTCCTGCAAAGCTCCTGATTCCAATGCAGCGTCAGAGTTTGTCTATTCTGTGGAGTGGCTCGTTGATTCCTCAGCATCTGTATGAAGATGATCTCATTATTGCAGCGGTTTTCCCAATTAGGAAACTAAGGCTCAGGGATGTTATGTTTCTTTTTTGGGACAATGCACCAGCTGTGTATAAGAAGAACAGGACTTTGAACTCATTTCTGTCTGACCTTAAACCCATGTCCTTCATGATCAGAGTGTATTGTTGCTTTTTTTTTTTTTTTTTTAAAGCTGTGTTCTGTGCATTGGAATCTGAGGTTCAAACACGCCTATCACTTAGATCAAGCAGGACGTGGAACTGCTTGGCCACTGCTTGCGACACTTCCCTGTTACCTCCTACAATTCCTCTTGAGATTCTGGAGTGCCCCCCTCCACGGATCTCTCTCTCTTGTTGCCAAGCTGACCCTGTGACACGCGGCTTCATTACCCTGCTCCACATATTCTGACATGGTTGGTAGTGATACCCCAATCTGCCTCTGACTTCTTTTCTGGCCCGATTCCCTCCTCTTCCTCCTCATACCCTGTCCCCTCTGGTCCTGTTTCTTGCCCACTTCTACTGTGGCACACTTGTCAGAGGCAGCTGAGATGCTACTTCCTTCATGTAGCTCTTCTGATTCTTCTGATTCAAGGATGCAACCCTTGAATTTCCCAAACCTTTTATTTGTACATTTCCTAAGGGGCTTAGTAATAACAACCATCACTTAGGGAGAAATGACCGGACTGCGCACACTACAAGACCCTTGGTAGCAGCAACCTTCCAAGGCCAGCAGGACAGCTTCCATTCTATAGGTTAGGAGAACTGGACCTGTAGGAAGCTAGCAGCCCAAGAAGACACAAAAAGAACATGAGGAGAATCGAGTGTTCACCCAGTTCTGTCTGTCTTTATGGTTCTCAAGCCTCCTTCAACCTTGTGTATAGGTTTTTAAATTTTTAGTTAGAAATACAGTCTGATGAGTTTCATTTTAGAAATATACTTGCATCCAACCTATCTTGACCATTTCACATCCTGTTACTCCTCCCCTCACCTCAATCCCCTTCCTTATCTCCCAAAGTCTACCTTTCTGATTCCTGACATCTCTTCTTTAACTATTACGTTATTTGTCTAGGTTGCTTATGTAAGGTAGCCCAAGTAATATTTAACTATCTGAGTCTAGCTTATTTGCCTTACCGTGGTGGTCGTGAGTTCCTGCCAATTTCCTGCAGATGACATGACTCCATTCTTCCTTCTAGCTGACTGACATTACACTATGCATAATGCCACATTTCCTTTGTCCATTTGTCTATTGACGGACACCCAGGCTGCTTCGGGAGCTTAGTTGCTGGGCACTGTGCCACTCTAAGCCCGGGTGTGCATATACCAGTATCATATACTTGTTTTGGAAATATATCCAGGAGAGGTGTCATAGGTCAAGTGGAATTTCTATTTGGGTTTCTTGAGGAGTCTCCATACTGGCTTCCCATAGTAGTTGTGCTAGTTTATATTCCTACCAATGATATTAGGAGGGCGTCTTTCCTTCTGCATCTTGCCCTGCTTTCACATTTTTTGCATCCTTATTTTATTTTCCTTTTGAGACAGAGTTTTTCTATGTTGTTCAGGTTGGACTTGAACTCAGTATGTAGCTGTTTTCTCCATGTGGATGCCCAGTTTCCCCCAAACCATTTGTTAGAGGGGCTAGCTTTTCTCCAGAGCCTGTTTTTAGTCCCTGTGTTGAAAGTCAGATGGCTGCAGGTGAGCAGGTTTTTTTTTTTTTTTGTCTTCCACTCTATCTGTTGGTTTACTGCCTTGTTTTTGTGCCAGTGCCCATGCCGTTCTTGTTACTGTGGCTTTTTAGTGTAGCTTGAAATCCAGCATTGCAGTGACTCTAGCATTGCTCTTTTTGCTCATGCCTGCTTTGGCTATTCTGGATCTTTTGCCAGTGAATTTTAGGATTTTTTTTTTAGGATTTCTTTTTTGTAGTTCTGGGGAGAAAGTTAGTGTTTTAATAGAATTCCTATTAAATATTTATTTTTCATAGTAATGCCATTTTCAAATTAGCTCTTCTGATCTAAGAACAAGGGATATCTTTCTGTTTTCTAATGATTTCTTCAGAGTTCTATAATTTTCATCATAGAGGTCTTTCCTTGGTTAGGTTTACTTTCAAGTGTTTATTTTTTTTTAAAATGTTGCAAGTGGAATTGTTTTCCTGATTTTTCTTTTGGTGAGTTTATTATTGGTGTGTAGGAATACTATTGATTTTAATGTATTGATTTTTTTTTTATCCTACAACCTTGCTGAATTTTTAAAATGTTTATGTATTTATTTGAGACAGGGTCTCACTGTGTAGTTTATGCTGGCCTTGAGTTTACTATGTAACCCAGGCTGGCCTCAAACTCACAGCGATCCTCCTGCCTCAGCCTCCTGAGCATTGGGATTACTGGTATGCACCATGCCAGGTCACCTTGCTAAATTTATTTATCAGATCTAAAATTTTCTGGTGGAGTTTTTCTTTTTGGGGGGGAGATGGCCTTCTTTGTAAAGAATTATTATCTGTAAATTGGAGTAATTTGACGTTTTCCTTTTGTTTTTCTTTTTTAAATAAAAACTTTTTATTAGCACAGATTTGCTGAACATAATAAATTCTTTTTAAAGCAGGGCTAGTGATTGAACTTATGGCCTGTACACTGAGCTACATCCCCGGTCCCTTCAAAATTTTTGTTAATTTTCTCTTGCCTGATTGCTCCGGTTAAAGTGTTGAGTTATATATATGTATATATATATATATATATATATATATATATATATTTTTTTTTTTTTTTTTTTGGCTTTTTCGTTTTTATCGGTACCAGGGATTGAACTCACGACTGCCTGCTTTCAAGGCCGGCGCTTATGCCGCTGAGCTAAATCCCCAGCCCCTGAGTTATATATTAAATAGAGTGTTCGAAGTGACCCCGATCTCACTTCTGATTGTAAAGTGCATGATTTCAGTTTCCTCCATTCAGGGTGATGCTGGGTTTGTCTTTGGTTCATCAATCCTTTGTAATTTTTGAAGTTTCAATCTTGTTAATTTATGCTCTGATATTTATTATTACTTTCCTGTCATTGGTTTTGGGATTGGTTTGTTTTTCTAGGACCTTGAGATAAATCATTAGATAATTTATATGTGGTTGCTCTGTTTTACTAACTGTAAATGTCTGATACATTTCCCATTATTGTTTTATTATAGAAATTTAAAAAATTTCTTTCTTGATTTCTTTAGTAACTTTGCTCATTGATTATTTTGCTTCCCCCCCCCTTTTTTTTTTTAATAATTTTTTTTTGTCTTTTTCATTTTTATCGGTACCGGGGATTGAACTCATGACCGCCTGCTTGCAAGGCAGGTGCTTATGCCACTGAGCTAAATCCCCAGCCCCTTTCCCCCTTTTTTGGAGACAGAGTCTTGCTATGTAGTCCAGACTAGCCTTGAACTTACTGTGTGGCCCAGGATGGCCTGTAGCTTGCAGCAACCTTCCTGTTGCAGCCTCCTGCGAGCTGGGATTACAGATGTGTGCTGCCATACCTGGACGTTTATTTTGCTTTTGATTTCTAGTTTCATTCCACTGTGATCTGATAGGACACAGGAAATTACTTCAGTTCTGTAACCCAGGCTGGCCTCAAGCTCATGGCTATGTTCCTGCCTCAGCCTCCCGAGAACTGGCATTACAGGCAGGCACCACACACCTGGCCAGTCCCTACTAGTATACAAAAAAGTATACAAAAAAAGTATACAAAAAAACTAGTATACAAAAAATCCTAATAGTATACAAAAAAGAGAAGAACCGCGTGTGGCGGCATATGACTGTAACCCAGGCTTTTGGAGGCTGAGAAGGTATTTGTCTGTGCAGGAAAATAAAGAAAAGCAGCCCCGGCTCCCAGCTAGCCCCGCCCCTTCAGGATTGCTTCCTGCAGTTGCAGTGCTGCAGGGGTCAGGCGGGACACAGCCTCCACAAGCACCATTTATTTTTTCTGACCCTGTGTTGGCTCTGAGGCTGTTTGTTGGTTCACAGATCCCACAGTGCCTGGTGGGAGAAAGTAGCCACACCAGGACTGCGCCTTCCCCGTCTCTTTCTGTCCCTGTGCCCGCCAGTTGTATTCCAGCTGCCGCCCTCTGTGCCTCTGCAGCTTCCACTTTGCCTGGCTCCCTTGTTCAGAGACTGTCTCCCTGGACTAGGGAACAGCTGGCAGGGGAACCTCTCCACCTCCTGAGTCCGGGGAATGTGGCGGGTAGGCTGGGTCTGGGGCAGCAGCCGCCATACTGGGTTTCTTCCCAGGGAAGAATTTGTGTTTTCCAAAATGGCATGACCTAAACTTGTACTGGGGTGAGCTGACTTTGCTTCTCATTTCAACTGCCCTGTTTCTGTTCCCCGTCTCCTTCACCTTATCTTCCTGTGACTGGTCTCCCCTCTGTGTCCTGCAGCTGGGCAGGCACCAGCTGACCTTGATGAGTGTCCCCGAGCCAGCTGTGAGAGCTGCTGCCTCCAGCCTTGTATATATATATACATATATTTTAATTTTTAATTTTTGAATGACTGCCCAACCTTTCCTTTGAGACTGAAGATTTCAGAAGAGCAAGACTGGGTTTCACTCTTTCATTCTCTGTGTCCTCAGTGACTAGGGTCAGCTGGTGAATGACTGAGAGAAGATGAGCCAGCCAAGTGCTGTTGAGGTGGCAGTGGCTGCTGGGTTTTGGGTGGCATTTGGTGGGTGTGATAGTGGTGGCCCATAGTCCCTGTGAGGCCCAACTTTAGGTTCAGCTCTTTCCTCTCCTCCTCCGAGGTTCCTCCGAGGTTTGCTGGAATGAGGTCTCCAGCAGGGCTCACTGCTGTTGGTCTCACCAGTGCCAGTGAAGTTGACACCAAAGAGCGCATTTCTGCGGACTGTGGAGGGGGGAGGAGGAGAGGAGACTGAAGTCCCAGAGTGCTAGAGATTTGAGATTTGTCTTGGGCTCAGTACAATTGACAGAGGTCCGGAGAGGGACAGGAGCTACAAGCCTGTCCTTCAGACTCTCGTCTCGTCCTGACAGCAGACTGGGGTGCCCTGCAGTGGGGACCCAGCTGATTGTGTCCAGCTGTCACTGGTCCCCACCCTCATGGAATGTATGTGCTAGTGTATGTGGAGAGACTGACACATGTAAGGAAGTTAAAATAAAACCAACCTATGTTAGGAGGTTAGCCTAAGGAGAAGAGTAAAGTGGGAAAGGGATACTGGGTGTGGGGGCTGGCACTGGCAATGGGGAAGTCAGTTTTATTTATTTATTTGTTCCGGGCACACAAGGCAGGGGCTTATGCCACTGAGCTAAATCCCTGGCCCTGGAAGTCAGTTTTAAACAGGATGCTCAGCAAAATCAGCTGACTGCTGAGAAGGGGACACAGGGCATCTGAACAGAGAGGTGAAGGAAGGGAGGGAGACAGTCCCTCAGGGAGAAGGCGCTCTGGGCAGAGAGATGGCAGGTGTACTGTCCCAACTCAGGGTACCTCCATCTGAGGAATAGCAGAGAGGCCAGTCTGGCCGGAGGGGAGGGAGGGAAGAGGACAGTGGCAGCGGGGAAGGTCTGGAGGTATTGGGAGAAGGTGGCACCTGTATGCTCCCTGTCTGACCCTTAGCAACTGCAGGGGCTCTGACTCCAGCCCAGCCAGCCACAAGGACGTGTGCTGTGCCCAAAGGGAAAGAGTTGTCCAGGGGACACCAAACAGAAAAGCAGCAAATTCTTGGCTCTCAAGTTTCAACAGGTAGGTGGGGGTGTAAGGTGGGAACACTATGAAAAGGTGTGAATTCTCCCCAGAAAGATGGAGCTTTGATGCTGTGTTTTCACCAGTGAGGATGATGGGGGACCCTCTTCCTCCCCCTCACCTGGGACGGCTTGCTGACCTGCTTGTCTCTCAGCCAGAGTGAGCTCTTTGCGAGCTGGGTCTTGGCCTCATTCCACGCTGTATTTGTATGTGTAATATGGGACTGGATTTATCACTCTTGTAATGTCCTGTCTGCATTTGGCTACTTTTATTTATCACTGGAACTAGACTTGTTAAGATGTTTATAACTTGGGTTCCGTGTATCCACTGGGATACTTGGGGGGGGGCATGAATTATGGGAGAACCTTGAGCTCACTATGTTCATTTTTCTTTAGCTTTCCTCCAACTCCTAAAGGAGCTGCTGATCCAGGGAAAGTTGAGGACTGCTGGAATGAGGATCCATAAAGTCCCTCTCAGTTAATAAACCACAGTGCCTGCTCTGTGCTGACTCTTCCATATTTTGTCTTACATATTTCTGGTGTCAATCTTGGGAGGTCAGTGCTAGCCATTTCATCAATTTATGGGCAAGGTGATCATCTCCCAGGGGGTAGGGACATCGCCCAGGTAAGAGAGCTGGGACTGGAACCTAGGTATGTGCTTGAGGCCCATGTCCTGTGTCCCCTTCTCCAATTCCTCCAAGCATGTGTGTGTGATCCTAAAGACCCATCCTGGTGTTGTCATTTGGAATATTCTATCAGTTTTATTAAATTGTATGTTTACTTTTAGTTTGGGCCAATCTCCTCTTTGAATATTGTAGGATACAATTTTGTTTTTGCTCTGTGGTAAATTTAGCCCTGCCCCTTGCCGCTCTAGATCAAACCCAGCTCCCAAATATTAGGCAAGTGCTCTACCACCGAACTATGTTCTCAGACCTTTATGTATTTTATTTATTTATTTGTTATTATGTTTTTAAAAAGATGAATCCTGAGTCTTAAAATTCTGGAATTCGATGAACAAAACTGAAGGGTTTTTTGGTGCCTGTATATGCATTTGTCTAAATTTCATGTATCCAAGTAAATAATTGAATCATTAATACCTCTGCCAATAGCCACTCTTATGGGATGCTTGCTCAATGCCTGACACAGTCTCATTAGACCCTCTCAATGTCCCTATGATATAGGTGCTTTTATCGTGCTGTCTTGTACTTAAGGATACTGAGGTCTAGACTCATGACCTAAGTTGCTCAATGTGACACAGCTCCTGAATGGCAGAGGTGGTATTTGAACCCAAGTCTGGAAGAGGAACTATCACCTTGGACTGCCAAGCCCCTTGCCTCAACCTGTCAGCAGATCTATGCCTGTGTGTGCCTCAGTGGTAACACATGGCCAATAGTGCTGGGTGGTTGGAGAGAGCGCATGGAGTTACTTTGCAGCCTTATGGTAGATGCAGGCAGGACTCCCTGTCTGCCCTGCCTGGCCTCAGTGAGGGACCTGGCATTCAGGCTCTGGTGAGGGGGCAATCAGGAGCCCAGACTTATCATACCTCCCCAGTGGGCGATGTGAGCCACTGCTTGGCCAATCTTCCTTCTGGAAAGTGGCAGCAGGCTGCCATGTCTCTCTGTGCTGCCTAGGTGACCTTCAACCACCAGTAACCAAGGAAATGATTAGATTGGAGCTGCTCAGGAAACCCTCCTGGTGCCTGGGACTTCACATTTCAACGTGCAAACTGTAGCTGGCATCTGCCTGGTCACATATGTGTCACTGCTTAAGTGCTCTCCTCTCACTGGGCCCTCTGCACCTCCTGAAGAGCATGTCCATTTGCTAGATGGGGAAACAGTCCAGGAAAAACGAGATAAACAGCCTGGAGTTTCCACAGAGCCAAGGCTTGAACCCAGGTCTTCCTGATTCCGAATGTCTTTCACTCAAGACCAGTGATTTCTAGAGGTCATTACAGGGAGCCAGGTGACATGGGCAGGTCAAGTGGAGGACTGAGGGAAAGAGGATGCCAGTCTGTCCTCTTCGTTCAGGAGCCTACGTAGGGTTGATTTAAAGGAAGATTTGTGCTGCTGATGAAACATTTTGGAGGCTGCCACAAACTGTTACTTTCTCCCTGGGGATGGGGTTCAAGTGCCATTTCCTAAGACCCCTGATTCTCCACAGGGACAAGAAGAGGCGCACTCTCTTGGAGGATGTCCTCCACTCGGGTCAGAGTGGGAGCACAGGAAGATGCAAAAGGCGACAGAAGACCAGGGCTCCGGTTCTGACTGGGACACAACTTGATCAAGCTATTTAGTGCAACCATCCATCCGCAGAAATGAGAAGACTGGCCCAAATAATTTTTAAAATCTGGGTCAGTTCGTATAACCTAAGTGTCTGGGACAGTATGCTTTGTCATGAGCTCTTAGACACAGCCAAGGCACCTAACACTGTAGGAAACTGGTGTCACTTGTTTCATACGTATATTTCTGAAAGGAATGAGTGTGGCTTTTAGTAGCACTTTAAAGGGAGGGTCTATGAAGTAGAATTTTTCATTTCTTAGGATTTCTCTTTTTCAAGTTTGTGGCCAAACTATGTAGTCCTATTTTTCTTCTTGGGGAACATCAGCTGTAAGAATGATTTGAAGGCCCCGTGTGGTGGCACATGCCTGAAAACTCAGCATTTGGGAGGCTGAGGCAGGAGGACTGCAGAATTCAAGGTCAGCCTGAACTACATAGTGAGCTCAAGACCAGCCTGAGGTACACAGGGACCCTGTCTCAACACTGCCACTCCACAACCCCCCAAAACTCAAACAAAACAAAACAACCAGAAAAATAAAGAAATCAAAAAGTGTTAAGAAGATGATTCCATTAAGAAGACAAAGGTGACATAGAAAAGTAAATAAGACATGGGAGCTAGATGAGAGTCAAAGACCAACTAAGCAGACACAGTTTTAAGTCCCCAGATCTAGCCATGCCTGTTACCCTGCATGGTGCTTTTCAGCTGCATGACCTGGCCTTCCCCCTTTGAAGTGTTTTCTGTTTCAGTCCCCTTTCAGAATGAAGGATTGATGTAGCAGTGTTACGGGGAGGGGCTTTTGCCATTTGAAAAATTCTGAAGTTAATTTAGAAAGGCAAATTAAGGACAGTGATGGAATTCTTCCTATGCTTTTTCTGAGTTTCAGAAGAAAAATGTTTATTTTGCTTCTCATCCTTTATCCTCTTTTCCAACCCGGGGTTTTTGGATGTGCAGAAAACCTTAGTGTCAATGCTGTCATTACACAGATAAGAAACCACGATCCAGACAGGGGGGTGAGACTGTTTTCTGATTCCATTGCGCATGAGCGTCAGGACTGAACCTGGAAGCTGGTCCTCGTCTTGATGTTCTGCACCCCACTGCTGGCTTTCCTCAAGTGCTTCTCTCCCGGGAGGATTCACAAGTCCGCAGAGCTGGGGGTGTGGGGTAGACTTTCTACTCCTGTTTTTCCTACCAAGCAGCTCCTGCAGTGTGGATTTCTTTCTGGGGTCAAGGGCACAGGCATACACAGAGAGGTGGGAAAGTGACCTAGTCTTGCACTGCCTGGTCCTCTTGAGGGACAGGTCTACCGAGGGTACTGGCCTGGGAGCTCCAGCTAGAAATGGGGTCCAGGGATCAATGCTGGGCCAGACATTGCCTAACTCTGGTCACAACAGGAAGCAGCAGAAGGGGGAGGATTTAGACTCTGCCAAGAATCCCAAGCAGGAAGGCAGGCTTTATGGGGCAAGACCAGGGGGTCACTTTCAGCCACAGGGTCAGATTTATTTAGCTCTCAGCAAAAACAGAAATAGGTCCAAGGCGATCTATCATAATTATTGCCCAGGACCAGTGGAGTGCCCGGCTGCAGCTTTACTGTAAGAACCCCTTAAGACCTAGCATCAGGGCAGACCCGCCCTGCCACCCGCTCCTTTTGACAAACCACACAAAGCCACACTGGAGAAAGGATCTTTAATGTCTGACTTTGTGTCCCACCTCATCAAAGTGCCATCATCGATCAAAGAAGTAGGAGGGACTTGAGACGTAGGAAATCACAAGACACACCAGGCCCGGGGTGCTGCCGCTGGCTCCCGGGGCGCACACTCTCCCACCGCCCACACACGCACACATGCAGAACCACACGTACACCGCACCGACACACGCACGTGTACCCAGAGTTAAATACATGGAGAGAGGGACTCGGTATATACAGGGAGAGAAGGGAGAGAGAGGCGGAAATCCCGGCGGGGGGGTCCCCAGGCTCTCGGCATGCTCGGCCCAGCTCTCCGCGCTGTACCTGGCACCCATGCCCCTGCCAGAAAAGCAGCTGCCCCTCTCCCGTCCCCGGGTCCCCTGGGCGCCCGCCCCCGCCCGCCCCCACGGTGGCGCCCTCCCCGGGAAAGGAGCCTAGAACCGCGCGGGCGCCAGGGGCATGTTGCTCTTGAAGCCCGGCTGCCCGTTGGCCACGTCGGCCGCGCCCTCGCCGCCCGGGCCGCTGCAGGCGTCCGCGTCGGCGCCGGGGCTCTCGGGCTCGGCCAACAGCTTGAAGGGGAAGAGCGGGCCCGGGGCGCGCGCGCGGGGATTCGGGGGCGCGGGCGCGGGCGCGGGCAGGCTCAGGAGCGCGCCCGGCGCCTTCCACTCGGGAAAGGCGCACAGCTCGACGGGCGGCGCCGCGCCGCGGCCCAGGTAGCCCGGGCTGGGGGACGCCGAGGGCAGGGTCCGCTGGCTGCCGCTCAGGCAGCTGCCGCTGTCGTCCAGCGAGTCCTTGCGCGACTGCGAGCGCTCCAGCGAGCCGCCGCGCGTCCACGGCCGGTAGGTGTAGGCGCAGCCGCCCAGGCGGCGACGGCGACGGCGGCGACGGCGGCCGCGGCACTGGCACCCGAGGATGCGCAGGAAGGCGCGCTTGAACTCCTTGCTGGAGCACGGGTAGATGATGGGGTTGAGGCAGCTGTTGAAGTAGCCCAGCCAGAACACCACCTTGAACACGGCGTCGGGGGGCTTCAGGGTGGAGAACAAGGAGCCTGCAGGGGGGAGGTGAAGGGAGGGGGACAGAGAGAAGAGCAGTCTGTGAGCGCTGGCGTTCCCTCCACTGCCCTCTGGGCCACTCGGTCACCCGCCTCTCCCAATCCAGGCCAGTTCCCAAGGATGGCTTTCCCATTTCAAAAGGAAGTTCTGCATCCTGCATTCCCAGCCTCAATAACTTTCCCCCTTGGAAACCTCTCCTGATGAAGCTTAGCAGCTTCTATGCTCCTCTAGGAAGCACTTTTCCTAGGGTAGCACCCATCCCAGTGTTAATAATAGCCACCCCTAATTGCACACTGCTGGGGAGCCAGGCTCTGTGCAGGCCGCGTGACCTATACTGTTTCAACCTGCACAAAATGCCACGAAGTACAAGCTGATTTGTTTCCATTGCAAATAAGAGATGTGTTAAAGACCTGAATGCAAAAGGTAGATCTTTCAGGGTGTGTGTGTGTGTTGCTGGCAATTAAACCCAAGGCCTCCTGCATGCAAGGATAGAGCTCAACCACTCCATCACATCCCCACCCCTTTTCAAGGTAAAAGAACAACCTAAAGGAAAACTTTTTGACTTTGGAAGTGAAGAAAAACATCCTAACCCTTTAAAAGGTTGCAATGGGAGATGTTATTTACAATACCCAAAACAGTCCAAGCACTGATATTTATCATATAAGGACCTCCCCAAATCAAGAAAAAACAGCATTCCCAGTGGAAACATGAGCAAAGAAAATGAAAGTTTGCAAAATAGGGAAGCCAATGGTCAATGAACTTAGGACAAGATGCTCAAACTATTAGGCAGTGAAATAAATTAAAAATGAAAACCACAGAGATAGAATTTATATCTATTAGGCTGGCTAACATTAGGAAGCTGAACAGACAAAGGTGAGGATGAGTAGCTGTTGGGGGCCCAGGATGTGCAGAAATTCTAGGGAAGACAGACCCTAGCATGGCTTGATCCAAATAAGAGTACACACACCTCGTTTCTCAGTCTGCTCTAGGCCACAGATCTCAAAAGTGTTTTCACACAAGTTTGTCAGGGAACACTTAGGAAGATGCTCATGGCTGTGTCATGGCTGTGGTGACATGGATGGGAGAAAACCTGATTCCCTCTCTGGGACACATAGGATGTAGCAGATGCATACTCAGAGACTATGCATCACTTTGAGGCCCAGGATGGTGTATCCACAGAGCAGTGTGGAAATATCTTAAATCCATCATTCTTAACCGGGCATGGTGGCACACACCTATTGTTGGGAGCCGCGGCCGACACCGGTCGCCTTACTTGGCGGACGTAGGGCCTGTGGGTGGGAGCGGAGCCTGAGCTAGATTGCCCCTCCCATCGAGTGAGCCAAGTTGGCGCCTGCTTCCTGCCCCCTGATTGCGCTGGCGACTTAAACAACCCGCTCTGTAAGATAGTCTGCCTAGCAACAACTGATGTTAGCCAATCAGCCCGCATCGCGCGCTTTGAACTGATTGGCCACTGTTACCCTATAAAAGTAAATGCCTCTCCCGCCACAAGAGAGAAGCACAGAGGAAGTACAGAGAGAGATAGAGAAAGTCCACCGGCGAGAAAGGGCTGGTGGCAGAGAGGAGGCCTCACGGGGCCCACGCGGAGACAAATAAAGGCAAGGTTGCACACCGCCAGACTTTGTCGTGTGTCTTTCCTGCCGGCCGGGAGCGACCCCGACAACCTATAACCCCAGCACTTGGGAGGCAGAGACAGGAGGATTGCTGTAAGTTTAAGGCCAACCTGGGCTACACATTCAGTTCAGTGCCAGCCTGGGCTACACAGTGAGTTCACTGTCAGCCTGGGCTACATAGTGAGACGTTGTCTGAAAAAGAAGCAAGCCATTTTTCATGAAGAAAGTAGGAAATAGAATGAAATTTGTGACAGTACATTTAACTTACCAAACAGCCCCATGCATTTTGAAAAAAAAAAAGATTCTTAAATTAAAAAGACATTAAACACAGAGTGTTTGCCTAGGGGTGAAAGCAGACGGACATGGGAACGGGAACGAGACTACAAAGAAATAAATGAATAAAGCAAGAGTGAGTCCGGCATAGACTGATGATGATAGAATGTTATGAATCCAGAAACGTGATTAACTCGTCCTTCTGAATTTGAGATCCCAAAGCATTTCACGACTATATCAAATTAAAAACAATTTCCATTTTAAATATAAGGCAGCTGAGAGGTTGAGAGGGTAAGTGGCTGGCACCCCGGTCACACAGCACGTCTGTAATGTGGCCCAGAGTTACACCACATTCTAGTCAAATGAAAACATGCTTTAAAGTAAAAAGATGCCATCAATGACATCTTTTGGAAAAACAAGAAAATGTTAGAAGACAAAAAAAATTAAAGCAAGCATAATTCTGCAGTGCCAAAAAGTCACATTTTGATGAACTTTCTGATTTTTTCTGTTAGAAAGACAGCTTTATGTGTTTTTAAAAATGACATTATACTTTCAGAACATTTTATACTTTCAGACTATGGCCTGACTCTCCACTGGGCTTGTGATATACAGACTTTGATATTCTTTTTTTTTTTTTTTTTTTTTTTTTTTTTTTTTTTTAATTTTTATTTAAGGAGAAAAGAAAAGAAAAAAAAACAGTGAAGGGTACAAGTTATACAGATTTACAGAAGAAAAAAAATGCGCAGTAGGAAATCACTAGTTAATAGATTACATATTGCCATCTTAGAAATAATTGTTCAAGTCACAGAATTAAAGTTTGTAGAGTGGACATTCCAGCAATGATACTGCAAACAGTTCTGTTCAATGATCCATTAGAACTCTGTGATATCATTTTCTGTCTTATACATTTAAATATACATGCAGTTATATAGTTTAGAGCATTTTCTTTTCCTCTCTTTTGTACAGTGACTATTACACATTTTGGGTTTCATTGCTCCCACTGTTCTTATTGCTTTTTTGGAAGAGAGTAAAACCAAATGTGACATGACAGAACAGAATCGGTCAAGTCAAAAGGGTGGATATAATAGATAATATAAAAACATAATACAAGGTGATCAACAATGGTTACCCTAATGCCTCCCGCTATTTCTAATAGAATTGCCTATATCGTTAGTTGTAATACTATTGAACAAAACCGTAAAGGATAAAACCGACAAAACCAAAACATTGGAGATATTGTAGGTCTTCAAAAGTAGATAGAAGTCAACGAGAATGGGCGTTATAATGAATCTCATTATCTTCTCAGCTGATGCCTAAACTTTCGAACCTGATACTATTCAGCAAAACAGAATAGAGGAACCTCAGTCAAAAACAAGATGGTGAGAGTAATACAGGGCTTCAAATCGAGAAAATAGAAAGTCAAAGTGGGTTACTATATTATATCCTGCTATATTTTTCCCTTTAATTAAATGGATAACAATAAAAAAGTATATAATGGAGTGGAGATTGAGAAAAAGAAAAAGAGGGCATAACAGCGAAACAGGGCAGATCAAAACATAACCTTTTAAGCAGAATAGTGTTTCACCACCAGATATTTCCGACTTAAAAATAGTTACCATATTGACTCCCTCCCTGAAGTCCTTGAGTACAACTTCATATACTGTAGCATTAAGTATATCAAAACAATGTAAAACCATTTAAGAGAATGACAGCATTATAGAGTATTTGGAATTGACTAACAGAAAATGAACAATGGTCTCTGTATAATCTCCTTGTCTTTAAAAGGTTTTTGCTTATACTAACGTACATAACAAAATCCAATAAGATACAACCTGGTTAGACCATTGGAGACAGAAGAACAAAAGCTAGATGAGACTTCAAAACAAGATGGTACTGAATCAGCATTACCTATTAAGATGTCATTTTCTCAAAAATAGCTGTTCCTATCATCCAATCTTCTCTGTCTCATTTCTGTTGAGCTCTTTTTCTGTCAGTAGCTGTCAGTTTGTCTTCTTCATTTTGTTCTCTGCTCCATTCGTTGTGGCCTCCCTGCCACTATTTCTGGGTTCTTTGTATTTTTCTTTTTTTAGAATATCCTGCAATACTTTCTGTAGAGTTGAATTGGTGGTTGCAAATTCCCCCAGTTCCTCTTTATCCTGGAAGCACCTCGTTTTTCCATCAATTTCCAGGGACAGTTGTGCAGGATATCTCAATCTTGGCTGGAGATTATTATCTTTCAAAGCTTGAATTATTTCCCCCCATGCTCTTCGTGATTTGATGGTTTGTGAAGAGAAATCTGCTGTAATTCTGATGGGTGTTCCTTTGTAAGTGATCTGTTTCTTGTCTCTTACAGCTTTTAATATTCTGTTCTTGTATTGAATTTCTGGGATTTTTATTATTATATGCCTGGGTGTTTCTCTGTTAGGGTTGTAGGTAGCTGGGGTCCTGTATGCCTCATACAGCTGAGTATCTTTACCTTTTGCTAAATTAGGAAAATTCTCCTGGATTATTTCTGTGAGTAGCTTTTGTAATTCATTTGTTTGTGTCCCTACTTCTTCTTCTATGTTCTTAATCCTTAAGTGGTGGCTCCTCTTATCATCTTCTTGTCTTTGTATTATTGCTGTTTGTTTCTTTGTTATTTTTAAGAAGTTTTTCATTTCATTCTCCCATATTTCAAGTCTGCCCTCCAGTTCAGATAGTCTGTCCTTAGTTTCTTTCAAGCTGTTATGCCAGTCTTGTATAGACTTATTAATTTCTTGATAGTCCCTTTGAACCTGCTTCACATACTCAATGCTTTCTCTGTTTTCTCCATCAAGCAATTCTCCCCTCTTTTTCTGTTCTTCCATTCCACCATCTGTTTTTTCCTGGGTGGTGTTTAGCATTTCTCTAACTATTCTGCATACTTCTAGCTTCAGATCATTGATAACTTCATTCCTGAATTGGTCTATGAGGCTCTCAATATGGTGCTTAATGTATACTGGTGCGGCGTCCATTATTGCCTGTTTCTCAGGATTGGGGGCCGAGGAGCTTTTTTTGTTGCTTCCCTTCCCCATATTTTTTGTTCCTTATAAAATGCAATCTTACAAAGGAGG